GACCGCACCAAACTGGCCCCCCCTTTCCGTGGAGCGAAAAAACGTACCAAAACGCATGGAACATCTATGATATCGGCCTCCGGGGCCTCCCAGGATGGCCCCCGCACGGCCCAAGATGGCCCAAGACTGCCCCAAGACGGTTCAAGATGGTCCCAAGAGGGCCCATGAGACCCCCAAAACGGCCCGAGAGGGCCCCAAAAGGACCCCGAAGAGCGGCTCCAGAAACTAAAACCATGGATGTCACATTGACTTTTGAACGATTTTCGCGTTCTCGCCTCTTTTGGCCATCAGAAGACCATGACGGCCCAAGCAGCCTCCAGGAAGACCCCACCCCAATGGGGGCCCCAAGACGGTTCACGAGGGCCCCGAGACGGCCAAAAGAGGCCCCCAAGACGGTCCAAGGTGCCCCGAAGACGGCCCAAAGAGACCCCAATAGAGCCCCAAGCCTCCGAAGGGGCCTCCAAAATGGCCTCCGAAGAGGCCAGACGGCGCAAGAGCGCCCCGAGACGGCGCAAGACGTCAAGAAGACGCCCCGAAAAGGCCCAAGGCGGCCCCAAAGACGCCCAAAGAGGCCCCCCAAGAGGCTTCCAAGAGGCGCCCAAAGAGCCCCCCCAGGAGACCGCCCAGAAGCCCTGGGGATGGCAGGACGGTTCGGCGCGCACGCGCGGCGGCCGAGCAGGTCACGCCCGCACCTTCCACATGTTATCACTCCTCCACAGCCGCGATTACCAGACCGGATCGGCTGTGCGGCTGGGGGGGGAGTAGGAGGAGTAGAAGAAAAACAAAAAGGACGAAGGAAGGGAGGAAAAAAGATGATAAGGTAGGCCAGAAATGGGCAGGCAGGAGGAAGCGAACGAGGCGGGAGGAAGTCGGCAGAAATGGAGGTTCACGGGCAGAAGATGACCCTAAGAGAAGCCCACAAGCGGTCCAAGAGCGCCCCAAGACGGCCACACAGGACCCCAAGAGAACCCCGAAATTGGTTCCAAAGCGAGCGCCGGCCCGGACTCCAAAAGTGCCAGGCGGCAGAAGAGCGACCAAGGACGGGCAGACGCCCCCACGAGGCTCCCCAGAGGCCCCACGACCGACTGGACTCTACACGTGCCCCGGACGTGCACCCCGCGAAGCGATAGGAATCATAATTAGCTTCGTCTGGAGGGCGGCGGCCTCCGAGTTGGCGAGCTGCTGAGCCTGGGAGAGCCTCTGGTCCGCCGCGCCGCGCTCTTGGGGACTCCATCGCAAAGGCCCTCCGCTGGTTGCGCCGAGAAGCTCGCGGCGGGCCCACGTTCGAACGCCTTCGAATCTCCGCGACGTTTGAACGACGACCCGACACCTCTCTCCGGCGCCTCCACGGAAATCATGTGCGACGGCGCGGATCCGCTGCGCGGGTGCACTCCCGCTGCAGCTCCAGCGCCTGGCGCTCGCGCGTCTGCGCGTCTGCGCGTCTTTGCCTCGCGCGCGTTCTGGCCCAGCAGGTTGTAAAAAAACTGCGAATCACGCGGTCCAGCTCTGCGTCCTTCTCCAGCTTCTCTGCCCTGGAAGCCTGCCGCGCCGCGCCCAGCGCGGCCACCTTGTCCGGGTCCGCCGGCGCCGTCTGCGCGGCGGCGTCAATCGTCGCCCGCGCAGCCGTTTGTGTCGCGGCGACACCCGCCCCAGGCGGCTGCGCTGGCGCGAGCGCGCGCCCCGTAGTCGTCGCGGCCGCGCGCGGCGGGCCGGAGGCCGCGCTCAGCGCCGCGGAGCGAGGGCTGCCCGGGGCGCTCGAGTCGCTGTTCGAGTCGCTGCTCGAAAAGCTCCTCGAGGAGGGAGGGGGGCTGGGCCCTGGCCCCCTTGGCGGCTCCGAGGCTCCGCGCGCGGCCTGCGCGGGGTCGCCCGGCCGTCCTCCAAGCGCTGGCTCGGCGGCCGCAGGGGGGCCCCTGCTCCGAGAGCGGGTCTTCGGCGACCGGGGCGGCGCGGGTCCTGTCGCGCTGGCTGGCTTCCGAGGCGGCGGCCGCAACGTCCTCGCGACCGCGCCGTCCGCGAGTCTCCCGGGGCACGGCGTCCAGGCACAGGGGAACGCCGCGCGGGTGCGCCCCCGCGGCCCGCCGCTGGGGGCCCTGCACAGAATGCAACGATTCCCTCATCAGTCTCAAACGACCAGCGCGAGATCAGAAAGCTCCACGCGGGGGTGGGCAATGACCGACACCGAGTTGCCATAACTTCGGCGCCCTACGCCCCCAAAGTGCCCCGACGCGACGCTATTAGGGGCGCATCCTGTTCCCAGAGAAAACGCACGCTACCGCCGAGCAGCCGCGTTGAGGCAAAGCCTAACTCGGGCAAGCGTGGGTGATCGCTGGATTATCCGACGCCTTGGGCTGGTGCGTGAGCCCGCCCGACGCCGTCCAGCCCCCCTGCGCCACGATCGCCTTCACCGAGTCGGCGCCTGTGGCCGACGGAGCGACCGCCACCGTCGCTGAGGCGCCCTTGTGGTTGACGACGGCGGCAGTCCACTCCACCACCTCCACGCGGATCGAGCAACCAGGGGATGCCTGGAACAAATCCGAGCCTCGATGTGGAAGATATTTCGGCCCAAACGGCGACAGGAAGGCTGAGGAAGAGGAAAACGAACATGAAGATAAACGGTACTATGGTGTGGATTGCGAGGTGTCACCATCCGATTGGATAGGGGGTGCTCACCAATGCCGTTTGCGCCTTGTGATTGCTCATGTCTTCGTTCTATTCGTTTCGCTCGGAGTGGTAAAACACAGCGCCGGCGTTGCACTGGAGGCGATATCCGCTCCTGTAGGTCCCTGGAGGCTCTCGACCCAATCTTCGATATTGATTTCGCTCCGTGGGTTGATTTCTGGAGGTCCTGGGGCCCGACGCGTGCCCCCAGGGGGCATTCTACCGAAATGCAAAATCAGCAACACATGCAAGAACAGACTGCGTCCCTTGTGCATCATCCCTCCCCAATGTACCAGCCCCTCCCCACCACGGCGCCAACGCAGGCCAAAATAACGGACGCCACGCTTCCGGGTCCCTTCGAATCTCGGAGTTGAATACTGCATGTGCTCTTAACTGCCACATGCCTGCATATACTCTTTTACAGGTCCCACTCCCCAGAGTTCCGGAATTCGCAAGCGTCTCCGCGCGTTTTCGAATCTCGCAGCATGGCTTCTACAGAGGCCAGAGGACGCCAAGACAACCCAAGAGCTCCCCAAGAATGCTCCCAGACAATCACGACCCAAGGCCGCCCTAAGACGGTCCAAAATTCTCAAACCAGTCTAAGAGGCCCCCGAGCCGCCCCAAGAGGGCTCCAAGAGAACCCCTACAACGGCCTGAAGAGGCAAATATCATAGATTTCCCATAGATGTTGAAGGAGTTTGGAATACTCGCGCGTTCGAGCTACAGGACGCCCAGTTGAGCCCCAAAGGCACCCAAGATCGTACCAAGGCAGCCCAAAGGCCCAAAGGCCCTCAATGCGGTCCCCCCAAATGCCCTAAGGGTCTCCAATCAAGCCCCAAAACGACTGGCACGTGCTCCGGACGTGCACCCCGCGAAGCGAGAGAAATCATAATTATCATCATCATCAGCATTATCAGCATCGTCATCATCATCATCATCACCACCATCATCATCATCGTCATCATCATCACCATCATCGTCATCATCATGTTCATCATCATGTTCATCATCGTCGTCATCATCCTTACCAGCAGCAACAAGAACAAAGGCATCATCATCATCAGCATCAGGAGATTCCCCACCCGTCCTTTTACACAGAACTCTCGTATATGTCATCCGCATGTGGTGACCTTGCAGACAGCACAACTCTGGGAGCACGCCGGCGTGACACACACACACACACACACACACACAACAACGCACATTACAGATCCGTGCAGCCAAGACAATTGCTTGCGGCCCGCCAAAAGCTAGGGCGGGTAGGTCGTGCACCAGTTCAGACAGGGAGGGAGGCTTGAGCGAAACGTATCGGACTCTGTGTATTCATCTCCTGCACGTTCTGAGGACAAGTCGGAGATTCCCCACCCGTCCTTTTACACAGAACTCTCATATATGTCATCCGCATGTGGTGACCTTGCAGACAGCACAACTCTGGGAGCACGCCGGCGTGACACACACAACAACGCACATCACAGATCCGTGCCGACATTCGAGGCACCAAAAGTCGCTATCGGTTCACTGCCGTCAGTGCGGCTCGGGGTCATGCACGCGGAAGGGGCGCAGGCGGATGGTTTGCCGACAGACACGATCGAATGCAGCATCTTGAAACACATCGGCCATTCGATTCGCAAGCACGTGAGGGTAAGCTGCGGCGCGAGCGGCCCAGTGAATGCCCAGGCCGTCTCGGCCCTGAAGAATCGGGTGTTTCTTTCCAGAGAACGAGCAGATGCCACGGACAGCTTTACAATGCTTACACAATTCGTCGGCTCTCGGCAGCAGGAAGCATCTCAGCCTAGTGGGTTTACACCACGGCGTGCCCCAACCGCAATAGTTAGTTATACTGTCGCGGACCCCGGGCCAGCGAAAAATCTGAACGGCAGCATCCATTTTCCACATGTAGGATGACTGAGGATTCTCCCACAAAAAAGGAACCCGCATCTGTTTACAGCACTTAAAGATCTTACAGGACATCTGAAACAGTTTGTTGCCCTCGTCTACCAGGCATTGCTAATAAGGCGGGAGCGAGAGGAGGCCAGAAGGGAGCTTGCGACGATCTGATTGCATTATGGCCTCCTCGGGCAATAGAGAACGACTTACATGGCACACCAGCTAGCACACCGAGACATTTGTCGGACTTGGTCATTCTCAAGATGCGCCTAAAGACAGCGGGCCTCAGGAGGTCACCTTGGGGCCCTTGCAGCACATCAAAAGAGTGCACTCTGAAACCGCGACGGCGCAACGAATTCGAGAAATGTTCTGAGCCCGAGAAGATTTCTACATAGAAATACTCGTGTCTCTTGGCGCGGGGGTCGCCCAAGCGTTGGCGGATAGCGAGGCGACGCCGCGCAGCGAGGGCAGCTCGGCCTCGGCCTGGAGGCAGTATGCCTTGGCTGAGGGCTCCATCTCGCTCCACACCGCCTGGATGAGCCCGCGCTTCTCGTAGCGTCTGACCGAGCTTGGCTGGCGCCAGCGGCCGCGCCGCTGGACCTCCTGCAACGAGATCCTCCCCGTGAAGCGGTCGATGGACGCACCGCTGTGTCGGGCTGTGAAGAACACGGGCAGCAGCTTGTCCAAGTGCAGCGCGCGAGTCGCGCGCTCGAACACGTCCTTGGCCTCCGTCATGGCGAACGTCCACAAAGGGGCGCTGGGCGGGCCCTGGGCTAGCCGAACCAGAAGGTTGCCCAGCCATGGACGTGCCGCGTCCACTGTCTCGTCCATCTCGCCAGTCTTGCTCGGCCCCTTCATGTAGTCGGGGTTGATGTGGATCGTCACCTTGGGCATGTGCGCCTGCGGAGGGATCACCTGGCCGCGGGTCAGGCGGAATGCCCCGCCAGGTCTCAGGTACGTGTCCACCATCAGGAGCCAGAACACCGCGAGGGCGGGGCGGCCGCTGATCCTCCAGATCTGGCGCGCCACGCCCATGCACGCCGCCCAGGGCAGCGGGCGCCGCGTCCGCGATGGCCGATGGCCGCAGCAGGCGCCAGCCTCGCAGCGCGCGGTAGGCGCGCGGCAGGGCCAGCTTCCCCTTGCTCTGGTAGTCGGGCACGTGCATGAAGATGGCGGCGAGGAGCTTCTCGCCCGTCGACGCGACCTTCCCCTCGAGGTACAGCTCGTCGAAGAACCTCACCACCGCGGCGTCCGTGTCGGCAGCAGGCGCAGCCAGAGACGTCAGGCGACTGCGCCTGAGGAACAGCTCGAGCAGCCGCGTGTACTGCAGTCGGCTCCGCCGTCCCACCGCGGCAGCCTCGGTGATGGAGAGCTGGCGGGTGGTGTCCCGCGCCTGCTCACCAGCGTCCAGGCGGCGCTGCACAGAGCGCGGCAGCTCCCGCAGGGGGATGCTGCGCGGGGCCGCCAGCACCACCGACGGACGTCGAGTCAGAGCCTCGCGGCGGCGCAAGGCAGGCGAGCCCAGGGGGCCCGAGCTGCGGCGCGCCAGCGTCCGAGCCGCCGAGGGCTGCGGAGGGGCCTGCGCTGTCGGGCCACTCCCAGGCACGCTGCGCTTCAGCCGCCTGGCCGACGGCGGCGCCGCCCGGCCGCGGGGCCGCAGCGGGCGCGCGGCTGCCAGTGGCGGGGCTGCGCTCGAGTCCAGGCGGGGCCGCTGGGGCCGCGGGCCAGCCGCTGCCGAGCCGACTGTCGCCCTCGGGGCCCCGCGCCGAGCTGCGGCGGTGCCGAAGCTGGCGCCCGCGCGCCGCGGCAGCGCGCCAGCTGGCCCCAGATGCAGCGCGTCCTGCAGCACCCTCGCGGGAGCGGCTGTCACCGTCGGCCGCATTGAACTCGCTGGGCACCCATCGTCGATGCATGCGGGCCCCCGAGGCGAGAGTCAAGGCAGCGCCTCGCCGCAAGATATTGAGCAGAAATATATCACGACAACGTCCTTTAGATAGTGCAAGTGTGAGTGCTAGATTGTCCCCCAAGACGACGCGCCTCTTCCCCCAGGAGTCCGCGTCCGACAGGATCAGCTTCACGGCGTGTAAGTCACCCCTTGCCTCCTTACGATGCATGGGCTCCTTGCCGAAGAGTGGCGAGTAGTGCATGGTCGACCAGCTGGTGCGGCGGATGGCGTGCGTCGACACTTCAGGGAATCGTTTGTTGGCGACGCCCTGGCGCAACAGAACAGACGGGTGTGCATCGAGCTCGGCGGCCTCGGCCGCACGTGCCGCGCGGTCGCGCGGCCGCCAACCCCCGTCCGCCTCGCGCGTGTGGCGGAACCGCCACCGCTCGTGCCAGCGACCAGCACTCTGCACCTCGGAGAGGTCCCAGTCGCCCTCGACAGAGGCGTGGCCCGTCTCGCAGGCGTCAGTCATGACGACCTTGGTGGACCACTCGGCGTCGAGGTCCGAGACGAGCGTGACCAGCAAGCCGCGGAAGATCCTGAACTCGCGCCGCGCCGACGCCCAGAGGGGCCTGGCGCGCTGGAAATTCTGCTGGACGAACGAGTAGACGGCGCTGAAGCAGCTCAAGCTCTCACGCCGACACAGCGCGGCGAACGTGCAGTGGCCGATGACGTGCTCGATGTCACGGCTGGTGACGCGGGGGCGCCGTTGAACCAAGTAGCCGAGCCCCATGTACAGCTTCCAGAACCTCTGTGGCGCCAAGGTGGCGCGGGCAGGCGATCCATGCAGCTGCCCGCCGAGCATGGCCATGCTCTCAGCGGCGTCGGTCTCGTCGTGGACGGCCAGGCCGGAGCCCTCCAGCGCCTTGGAGGCCTCGCGCCTGACCCTGGTCACGGCCTCGCGGTCGGTGCCGACCACGAGCACGTTGTCGACGTACAGCGAGTGGATGGGCTCCTTGAGCGGGCTGGGGACCGGCGCGAAGTCGACCGCCCGCAGCTCGGGCTTCAGGGCGTCGTGCTGGTCCAGCGTCCGCTCGTGAGCCTTCTGAACGAAGAAGAGTGCCCAGCTCCACCCCATGGGAACAACGGCAAGTTGTGGGTAAAGGCAGGCCCAGGGCGGGACACGCCGCCCGTCAAGCCCGCTGATGCCAAGCTCGCCCGCGGTGACCTTCGGCCAGCAGAAGTACGACCGCAGGTAGGCTGGCAGCTTGTGCTGGTAGAACGCGTTCTGGACGTCCACCCCCGCGCAGTAGAGGGGCGCGTCCTTCGGCGCCTCGAGGTCCGCGAGCCCCGCGGCGGAGAACAGGCTGACCGACGGGGGAGGCTGAAACCGCTGGTTGCTACGCCTGCAGTCCAGCGCCATCCTGATCCGATCGTCCTTCTTAGCCACGAAGAAGGCGGAGACGTCCTCGGCCCTCTCTTTCCCTAAGACGAAGACGCCCCGCGAGATGCCCGACTGGACGAATTCAAGGTAGAGCGGCCTGTTCCGCTCCAGCACAGGGTCCATGTACAACGTGGGCCCCCCCTCTGTCTCCACGGCCTCGTCGAAGCTCGGTGGCGGCAGCAGCAAAGCATGGTCGAGGTCCAAGAGAGAGCATCGTTCGCTTGTCCCCAGCCGATCAGCGAGCCACTGAGGCTCGTTTCCCAACTCGGGCCAGCTCACGAGGTGCGGAGCGCAGGGCCTCAGCGGCAAGTCGTTAGCCGTGTCGCAGTGCAGACACGGGCGGCCCAAAAGCTCTGAGCAGGAATCCTGGGCCGACGTACTCGGAGGGGCAGCCATATCACGATGCAGCCCTCGAACACGTCGATGCAACAAAACATCCAGATGTGAGAGGCGCTCTGGCGCGACCCGCGGTGTGGCGTAGCCCCCAAGCAAGTTGAGGCACTCCGCGGTGTCCCGAGTACGCTCCTCGATCAACTGGGCGCGGGAAAGGCGAGCCCGAACCGAACGGGATAGTCCAGGCGGGGGAGATGAGGAAATCGGCGACGCAGACACAGTAAAGGGCATCATGCCATCGCCAGGAGGTTAGACATCAGCAGGCCCACAAAACTGGCTCTCAAAATGCGGCGATCGGGTCGAGCCACCTCCCGACCGCTGACCCCAGGTCACCCCTTGTCTTTCTTGCCCGACTGGGCAGACTTCTCCTCGCGCGCCTTGCGCCTCTGCTTCTGGATCTCCGTCTCCTTGGCGAGCTGGTCGGTGGCGTACTTAGCGACCCCCGGCGCCATCGCGACGCCGCGGCGGGCGCTCTGCTTCTGGCGGCCGATGTAGTGCTCGACGCCCTCGATCTTCATGCTCCCCATGGTCTCCTCGATCAGCTGGTAGGCCCGTGAGACCACCTCCATGCTGGCGAGGTTGGAGCCGTCGACCTGGTCGTAGGTGACGGCCATCTCGATGGCGAAGCCGAGCAGATCGTGGATGTGCGCGGCCGCCGAGTCCTTGGTGCAGCCGCTCTCCATCATCCACTTGGTGTGTCGGCCATCAGGTGTGCCTCCGTGGTCGACGATGTAGTCGCACAGCCACTTGAAGCTGCGCTCGCCGACGAGCGGGAAGTCGTCATGTTGCTCCTGTCTCATGGCCGACACTGCATCACGAAAGTCGCGGTGCCTACGGCCCTCCCGCGTGCGCTGGAGGGGGCCGAGGAGGCGGGCGTCGTCGTCAGCTAGCTTGTCCGACACCTCGGCAGGCAGCGGGACAGGGTGGAGCTCGATCGGGACGACGAAGCCGCCCGTGGTGCTGTAGAGCCCACTCTCCCCCCAGACCACGTCGCCCGCCTTCGGGACGACCTCGTCGAGCTGCTGGCACTCGTTTGGAATCGTCTTCATCACGAACCATGCAGACCCAGGCGGCGCGGCCCGCTCGTCAGTGAGCACGACCGCGCCAGGACCGTCCCTCGGGGTCGGAGTGCCCCCGACCTCGCCGTCGGCGAGCGCCCCTGGCTCAGCGCCCGCAGCGTCCAGCGGGGGCGGGGCCATAGGCAAGCCAGGAGGTGGGCCGCGCGGCACAGCAGTGGACGGGCCCTTGCCCCGCGTACGGCGCAGGAAGCCTGGCACGTCGTTGAAGCTGACCGTCATGCTCCTGGAGGGCCGGCCGCCGTCACGCATGAAGGCCGTCGGCTCGGGCTCGCGCAAGCCGGCGCTGCGGCCGGCCAGGCGAGCGTCCCGAAAGAGTTCGATCATGTCGTCCTCGGCAGGATATTCACGAAATCTGTAGACTCGCCCTGGTGGGCGAACAGCAGCAGGAGTCGCCCCGATCGTGAGGGAGACGCGGCTCGGCCCGTCGCCATCGGGCCCTGCCGCCATCTCCTCGGGGTACACGTCGCCGTCGGGCGTGAGGCAGCTCCAGCAGGTGTTGGGGAAGGTGCCAGGATACGGCCACAGCAGCAACCGTTCGTGCCATATGCTCGGGTCGTCCTCGTAGTATAGAAGCTGACAACCCGCCCTGGCACCAGCTCACTGAAGAACTCCGCCGCCTCGGCGGCGGTCCCGTCGCTCAGGAAGAGGCTCAGGTTCGCGGGCAGGAGGGCCATCGCGGCGACGCAAGGCGGCGAAGCACGTGCCACACTGCGTCAACGCCGCGGTCAGCACCACCCCGAGCGCGTGCCACAGGAGCGTGTCGGGCTCCTCGTGCAGCTCGGACGGCGACGCCTGCAGGGTGCGGAGCTCGGCCAGCTCCGCGGACAGGTTGGTCAGCACGACCTGCACCTCGTCCAGCGCGGCGTGGCACCGGCTGAGGTTGGCCGCGCGCGCCGCGGCGAGCTGGGCCCCGCGCTCGGCAGCCCGCTGGGCAGCAAGGGCCGCCCGACTGTCCCAGTCGTCGGGCGGGCCGCCTCCGCCGCCCGCGCGCAGCAATCCTGGTTGCCACGCGTCCAGAGCACACCAGATGCAGACCAGCGTCCACGATGGCAGCCGCAGAGCGGGAGGGCGCATACGTGTCAGGTGCTCCCTGAGGCGAAAAAGGCTTGAGCGAAACGTATCGGACTCTGTGTATTCATCTCCTGCACGTTCTGAGGACAAGTCTCATCATCATCATCATCATCATCATCATCATCATCATCATCATCATCATCATCATCATCATCATCATCATCATCATCATCATCATCATCATCATCATCATCATCATCATCATCATCATCATCATCATCATCATCATCATCATCATCATCATCATCATCATCATCATCATCATCATCATCATCATCATCATCATCATCATCATTATCATTATCGTCACCCTACCCTCCTTCTCATTATCCACCTTCCCCTCCTCGTCCTCATCTCCCTGGGGGGCTGCGCGCGCGAGAGGGCACGTCGGCGGCAGCGACCGACGACCGAAGAAGACGGCGACGCGAACGAGGACGAGGATGTCGACGCCTGAAAACTGACGACGATGACGACGACGAGCGGCGGCGACGATGACGTCGCCTGGCCCCTGTAGGCCCGTTTCGCTTGCTGGCCCCATGGGGGCCCGTTTCGAATCCTAAAGCGCTCCCGCACTTTCCGCGGGCCCAATCCCTGCCCTCTCTGGTGAAAGGCGGCCCGCGCTCCCGCGTGCCCAGTTCTCCTTGCGCCTGCAATCTCCGCGAGCCGAAAAGATTTGCGGGCCATTTTGTTTTGGCCCGCACTTTCTGCGAGCCCAGTCCAAGCCGTTTCGGGTGAGGAGATGTGCGGGCCATGTGTTTGTTGGCCCGCATTTTCCAAGAGCCAAATCACAGCCTTTACTTTTCTGCTTGGAGTGTGATGACTTGCGGGCAATTGGCGCGAGCCGAGGAGATTTGCAGGCCATTTTTGGGGGGCCCGCAGTTTCTGCGAGCCTAATCATGACCTCTCCTTCTTTTTGGGATGTGGAAATTTGCGCGCCATTATTTTGTGGCCCGCAGTTTCCGCGATCGAAGCTGGGGACACCTACTGTGCAGGTCACCCCCGATCTAGCTCAGCTGATCGCACTCTGTCTCACCTTATGTAGCTGGATGGTTCAAATCTGAATGGGTCTATGTCAGTTTTCCCCCCCCACCCTTCACGGACGAACCACATGTTGGGCCCCAGCGCGAACCTCGGCAAACCCTGTCAGCGCAAAGGGCCTGTGGAGGCAGGCGGACCGCGGGGAGACAAAACATGCGCAACAAATCAACACATGTTTTTGGAATCTGCCAGCCTTGTAAGACACGCCCGGCTCGTTTAAGGTGGTGAATGCTGGACATGATGCGCCGACCACCACTTGCCGGGGGTGAACCGGCGTGTGAGACGTTAGGCTGTTCCCCATCCCCCCTTCCCCTCGCCTGGGGTCCAAAATGCCGTTTGAGAGGAGGGGGGTGGGGGTCGACGAACTCGCCAACGCACCCCATGGGCCTCGGGAGCCTCCAGAGAGCCCCGAGACGGACAAAGCCAAGACAGAGCGCCGAGACAGTCCAAGAGAGCGTCGAGACGGCGCAGGGTAATCCTACGACGGTCCCACGGGGCTTCAAGACGGCCCACGAGGCGCCCGCGACGGCCTGAGAATGCCCAAGGAGGACCGCCGAAAGGGCCCCACGAAGCAACAATCTTCCCATTCCTGCCGGAAAACGTACGTTTCTGACATACTCGCCTTCTGCATCCTCGCAGCGTCCACAACGACCCAAGGTGTCCCCAAGGTCGCCCCAAGACGGCCCATGGGGCCTCCCGAAAAGTCCGAAGACGATGTGAGAGGGCCCCCATACAGTCACCAGGGCCCCTAAGACGGCCCAAGAGGGCCCCAAGAGGCACCCAAGAGGAGGCGAAGAGGGGCCATACGCCGGCATTGCGAGCCTTTCCCCCCGAGATGGCCCCGACAGCACCCCGGAGGCCTCCGAGGTGCTCCCAAGAGGCTCGTAAGAGGCCTCCAAGAGGCCTCCATAAGGCCCACAAGATGCCACAAAAAGCCATCCAAAGCAAACCAAAACGCCACATCTGGAGAGACCGTCTTACGCATCCGACAAGATACCTTCCACGATCGTGGCAAAATCTTACTCATTCTGAGTGTCGGCGGAACGGCGCAAGCCACTTGCAAAACAATTAGCCTGGCGAAAGACCCAACCATATGCAGTTGTGAATACCGCACTTGTGAATCTATTCGGTGGTGCTCCCTATGGGGCCACGAAGCGCTGTACTGGGTGGGTGAAACGAAGGGAGCAAGGGCCGTGTTGGGTGGTGGCGGACGCATGCGGGCGGTGCCATTGGGACCCTCGGTGGAGCCCCCTTTATGGAGCCACGAAGCCCTGTCCTGGGTGGGTGAAACGCAGGGAGCAAGGGATGTGCTGGGTGGTGGCGGACGCATGCGGGCGGTGCCACTGGGACCTCCGGTGGAGCCCCCTATGGGGCCACGAAGCGCTGTACTGGGTGGGTGAAACGAAGGGAGCAATGGCTTTACTGGGTGGTGGCGGACGCATGCGGGCGGTGCCACTGGGACCTTCGGTGGAGCTCCCTATGGGGCCACGAAGCGCTGTACTGGGTGGGAAAACGCAAGGAGCAAGGGCTGTGCTGGGTGGTGGCAGACGCATGCGGGCGGTGCCACTGGGACCTTCGGTGGAGCCCCTATATGGGGCCACGAAACGCTGTACTGGGTGGGTGAAACGCAGGGAGCAAGGGCCGTGTTGGATGGTGGCGGACGCATGCGAGCGGTGCCACTGGAACCTTCCGTGGAGCTCCATATGGGGCCACGAAACGTTGTAGTGGGTGGGCGAAACGAAGGGAGCAAGGGCCGTGCTGGGTGGTGGCGGACGCATGCGGGCGGTCCTACTGGGGGTTTCGGTGGAGTTCCCTATGGGGCCACGAAGCGCTGTGCTGGGTGGGCGAAACGCATGGAAGAAGGAGGAGGGAGGGGATGAGGGGGAGGTGGGGGAGGAGCAGAGGAGAAGAGGAACGCGGGGACCGTCTCTTCAAAACAAGGACCCAACACCACAGGATGGTTGGGGAAACGCAGCGAATGTGCAAAACCAGTGCCTATCGCAACTTTGTTGGCAACGCACTGCTCGTAATGTAACACATGTGGTTCTGATGATCTGAGTCTTGGGCATAGCGATCAAGAGCATAGCAAACGTATTGGCCTAGCAGATGTAACTGTCATGTTCGTCGTCCGACTCCTCTCGTCCTCCTCTTTCTTCTAGATGGGAGCATGCCGATTCAACGGGGGACTCTTACACAGTGGCGGACACGGAACAACGCAAGTGCCAGAAGGAGAGGATTGGTCAGCAGATGTCTGAGGCAAGGAACTGATGCGAATAGACAGGCGTGGCCGAGCACCTATAAAACGACTGCGCCGTTTCATGGACGTGTTCACGCCACATCCCTCTTTCGCCGCGGACGGTTTCGCCGAGCCTGGCCCCGCTGATCACGCTGGGAAAAGAATGGCGCCAGCCCCTGACAGAGATGCGGTCAGAAGGTGCGTGCCGAGACCACCTGCTACAACAATTACAATACTGCCAACGTTTGCAACCCTACATGTGAGCAGGACCGACCCAAGCATTCTTAAAGGCCTGCCCCGAAATAGTCTCAGAACAAGCATAACGTTCTAAGAAGAAGCAGCGTTTTTTTTTATAACGTTAAGCCGATGGATTTAACCAAGACTAACTCACTGTCTCAGCCAGAAATGCCCTAAAAACATCTCGCGCAAGCTTCTAAACGATTCTCTGAACATCAGCAAGTGGACCTTTGGGCAAGTCAGGGCGCCGCGCCACTGCCTGATGCATGGGACACTTGCGCCGGCAGGCGACCTCTTCAAGTTCTCCTGATCCATATCGTTGCCGCCGTCCTGGAAGAGGGCCTGCCCCGACCGCACCCGCCGCTGCAGCTGCCGCCATTCGCTTGCCGCCCTCCTCCCGAACGGCGACCCCCGCCAGATGGTGTCACGCTTCTGACGGCGCTGAGCCAACGCTGGCCTTAAGTCGGGCATGTCCCTCTACAGGAGGAATCCCCAAAAATTGTCAAAAATAGTCAGGGGACTATTTTTGAGCATCTTTGGTTTAACTATTTCTTACAATGTTTCATCTTTCGTCCCAAAATCCCCCTGTAGAGGGACAGGCCCGACCTAATGCTGGCCGACTGACGCTTGGTTTCGACCCGGGCCGCTGCGCAGGTGGGCGAGCCTCGAAGGGGGGGCGGCTCGGAGAAGGGGCCGAGCCCGGAAAAATGGAGCTCGCTGGTCGGCAGCACGTGGCGTCTGGCATGAGGTCTAAAGTTGGGTCGGGCATGTCCTCCGACGGGCGGATTTCGGACGACCAGTCAAACGTGGTCTAAACATCCAGCAGGATTGTCAAACATGGTCGAGCATTCGAGCATCGTCCCCATACGATTTGTTTACCTGTGTTTGAAGATATGTATCCTGTAGAGGGGCACGCCCGACTTAAGTCTAGAGGGGAGCGCTCGGGGCGATGGGAACAGGCAGCACTAGCCCATCCCCTCGCCCTGAGCACCCGCCCGTACTTACAGCCCACCCCGCCAGAAGAGGAGGCCCCTGCCATTTTTCAGGCGGCGAGCCCAGGGAGGGCGTGAGAGGGGGCAGGCCTTCTCAGAAGGCGGCGCAGCGTCTTAGAAGCCCGGAAGCCTCCTGAGAAGCCTCGTAAGCCTTCTCCGCCGACGCAGACCGCTTCTCGGGAGGCGCCAGGGCTCCCGAGAAGACCCGCCGCCTCCTCGGAAGGCCTGCCCCCTCTCCCTTCCCCCCTGGGGCTCGCCGTCGACTCTGTCGGACTGTCGGATGAGCAGCCCATTGAAGGCCGACTGAAAAAGCCAAGGCGGGGACCTCCCGACCACGAGCGCAGAACACGACCGATAAGAAATGGGAGCGCCACCGAACTCACGCCAGCGCTCACGGGCGGCCCGGCTCCGCCAGCCGCCTGCTCGCTCAACTCAGGCAGACCGCACCGCGCCGCCGCCGCAGGCGCGGACGGCAGCACACGACGACGGCTGCGGCGGCGGCGACCATGCCGACGACGAGCACAGCGACAGGCCGTCCAGATTGGCCACGGAGAGGGCACGCCCGTGAGAGAACTCACGAAGCGCAACTGCTGCGCCGAGGCCACGGGGGGGGGGGGAGGGGGGCGAGACTCGGCGGCAGCATGCCGGGGCGTGGGCAACGCCCGCGCCCTGGCTGTCTCACCGCCCAGCGAAGCCCTGCGGCCGAGAAGCACGACAGAGTGCTGGGGCGCGGGGGAGGGCGGAGAGGGCAGGGTCCAGGCGCGCAGCTCGCAGCCCGCAGCCCGGCGGCGTGCACTTCCTGAGTCGGGCGGCCCCCGGGCGGGCCCCCCAGCGAGCCCGCAGGGTGGCCCGCCGCGCCGCCCCTCGCGCAGTCCGTGCGCGCTGCCCGCGGCGGCAGCCCCGGCGTCGGCCCGGCGCGGCGCACGGCCCTGCTTAAGCCCCCGGCCGCCCAGCTCGGCTTCGAGGGCCGCCCCTGCGATGGCGCGGTCACCTTCGCGCCCGCGCGCCACCGCCTCGGGGAGGGGCACCTCTGGGGCTGGGGCCGCGAGCTGCGAAGCGTGACGCCCCTGCCGCGCCAACCGCCCAATACTGAGAGAGGGATCATCGTGCCAGTGAGCCTATCCGCATATGCCCACCCCCCGGGGGGACAGCGCTCGCACTATGAGTCAGGATGCCCCCAAGAGACGCGTGCGCCTGAAGGGCAGCGCGCATAGAGCTGCGCAGGTGTTGCCACCGGCCAGGCCTGCGCAATCGTGCACAAATGCAGGGGAGGACCTCCGTCGCCGCGGTCCCCAAAAGCAGCCCGGGGCGCTTCCGCTCTTGAATGCCAGCTCCCGCGCTGCTGCCGAGCCCACAATGCTCGAACCTGCACCCGCGTTCGATTTCCACCAGGCCGGAACGTAGTCCACTGGGCATCGATCGTCGGGCCCCTCCTGGAGACGTACCATGCCGACAGGTTTGCCCCGTCGAACCGCGGCGACGAGGGCCCACGAGAACCAAAGCAGGCTCACACAAAGTAGCACAGCAATAGCAGGCACGAACAGAACCCACAAGTGCCACAGGACGCCTCGAGGCCTCCCCAGAACAAGCGTCTGGAGGACCAAAAAGTGTGTCACAAAGATGGGGGGGTACGTGCTCCTCTGCCCCTGCAACTGCCCATGCCCCTGTAGTCAAGCCCATAGTAAGGGTGCATTGCACGTGGGAATGCAAACCCACGGGGCCTACACGTGGAAGCAATTAGTTGCACTGGCTGTAGGACTACAGATCTACGACCTACGGCTGAATCCAATCAGCCCACTGGGCAGAGGTGGTTTAAGGTGTTTCCTCTTCCGATCCCGTCTTCTCGTTTGGGGAGAGGCTTACAACTGCTCCTAACTACTAACACCCCCTCCCCCACTCGACCGGGGAACGAGCAGGACCAACACCCTGCATCATTTCTGTAAAATTATCCCTGTGCGACCCTACCTAGGAGTTGGAGCCCCCATGGAAGCAGCATTGGTAGTAACACTAAAGTTAAGCTCAAGCTAAACTAAAGCTAAGCTAAAGCTAAGTTAAAGCTAAGCTAACACTTAGCTAAAGCTAAGCTGGAGCTAAGCTAAAGCTAAGCTAAACATAAGCTAACGCTAAGCTAAAGCTAAGCTAACGCTACGCTAAATCTAAGCTACATCTAAGGTGCAGCTAAGCTAAAGCGAAGGTCAAGCTAAGTTAAAGCTAAACTACATCTAAGCTACAGCTAAGCTGCAGCTAATATAAATCTAAGCGAACACTAAACGAACGTTAAGCTAAAGCTAAACTGTAGATAAGATGTAGCTAAGCTAAAGCTAAGGTAAAGCTAAGCTAAAGCTTCGCGAAATCTAAGCTAAAGCGAAGGTAAAGCTAAGCTAAAGCTAAGCTACAGCTAAGATAACGCTAAGCTACAGCTGAGCTAAAGCTAAGCTACAACTAAATAATCGATGCTACGCTAAGCTATGCTAAGCTATGCTATGCAATACTGTGCTATGTTTTGCTATGATGTGCTATGCTATGCCATGCTATGCTATGCTACGCTAAGCCAAGCTACATTAGGCTAAGCTAAGCTCAGCTAAGCTAAGCCAAGGTAAGCCAAGCTAAGCTAAGCTAAGCTAAGCCGAGCTAAGTTAAGCCAAGCTAAGCTAAGACGAGATAAGCTAAGCCAAGCTAAGGGGGCGCTATGCTAAGCTATGCTAAGCTATGCTATGCAATAATGTGCTATGTTATGCTATGATGTGCTATGCTATGCCATGATATGCTATGCTACACTAAGCTAAGCTACAATAGGCTAAGCTAAGCTACACTAAGCTAAGCTAAGCTAAGGTAAGCCAAGCTAAGCTAAGCTAAGCTAAGCTAAGCCAAACTAAGCTAAGACGAGATACGCTAAGCCAAGCTAAAGGGGCGCGACTGGGGGAACCGCGGGGCAGGGACTGGGGGAACCGCCCGGGGCGTGTAGCACTGCCCGGCCCCTTTAAGCTAGAGAGTAAGAACCCTTCTAGGCAGAGCCTAGGTAGGGAAACATGCGCTTTGCAACAAAAGCAAAATAATGTTCGGGGGCTCCGCGATCACATTGTACTGTTTTTGATCTGGCAGGCGGGGGGTCCGTAACAATGCCCGCTGTTCGTAGGTCCACCATGCTCGCTAAAGCCAACGCTAAGCGATTGCGGATGCACATGCAACACACAATTGTGTCTACCCCGTCGTCACTTCGCGCTGGCTTTTGACAGGGGTGGTGCCAGGGGTGGTGCGGGGTCGACATATTCACTGATGCACCTGGCGCGGTTGGAGCACGTGGCACACCGGGCGCACGTGGAGAACGTGGCGCATCCGACGCGCCAGACACGCCTGGGCTGGCGCACCTGGCACGCACGGCGCACCTCGCGGGCGTCGTGCACCTGGCTGGCGTTTGCATTGGTCCCCGATGGCTGTCGATGGCGACCTCTGCCTTTTCTGAGACTCGGGTGGTACTATGTAGTGGGAGGGCAAGTGAGAGTGAGCGAGAGGCAGCTTGCGGCGTTCCCCTGAATGTCCGTACATATGTGTACGTATACACATCTACCACATGGATCAAGATAGTCAGGAATGGCTCGCGATGGCTTCCAACATGCCTCCAAGATGCCCCAAGACTGCTCGCCCCAATGCTGCCAAAACCTTCTCGCCCTGTCGCTTCAGACTTCCTTGCGTGTCCTGAAACACAATCCAATATACCCAAGAGGGCCCCGAGAGGGTCCCTTAAAAAGGGCTCCGAGACGGACCCAAAGCCGACAAAGAGCGCCCCAGCAGCATTGTAAGGACCCAAGAAAGCGACTTTCGAGCCGACTGGAGGGCAATGCTAACAAAGAAGCCCATGATCATATGTTCGCTTTCCTGAGTACGCGCCAGAACGATGCAAGGCAATTCCTTTTCAGAACGTGGCTCTCGCATGAACGGCAGGCTCATGGGGCGATGGCCTTTCAAAGGGACGCTTCTTGCAGTGAAGAGGAAAGTGTGTAGGAACTTCTGAGAAGGGGGCTGAGGACGAGAGGGCGCACTGCAGCATCATTGATGCTTCCTGGCTTTACTCTCCTCCTCCTCCTTCACCACTTCCTCCTTCACCACTTCCTCCTCCTCCTCCTGCTCCTCCTCCTCCTTCCTTCCTTCTGGCCGCTTGACGCGCACCCACGGTCGGGCGGCGCGCCCAGCCGGGCCGCCCGGCGCGGGCTCATACCTGGCGGGCGGTGCCCGCATTCTGCCTTCCCCGCGGCCGGGGGCCTACCCTCTGGCCCTGCCCTCCTTCTTCTCCCGCCGTTCTGCCCTGCCTCCCTCCTCCTACTCCTGCTCGCCATCCTCGTCCCGTCGGGCCCCAGCCGCCTCGTGCTCCCCTTCTTCTTCTTCTTCCTCCTCCTCCTCCTCCTCTTCCTCCTCCTCCTCCTCCTCCTCCTCCTCCTCCTCCTCCTCCTCCTCCTCGCCTCCGGCCTCCTCCTCCTCCTCCTCCTCCTCGCCTCGTTCTCGTCCTCGCCTCGTCCTCGTCCTCGTCCTCGCCTCGGCCTCGTCCTCCTCTGGCCCTGCCTCCCGGGCCGCTCTGGCGCCCGTCCCCTGGGGCCGAGTGGTGCGCGTAGAGGGGCCCCAGCCCGACGATGGCCTCGGGCGCGCGGAGGGGGGGGGGGCGCCCGCCGCCTCCACCTCCTCCTCCCTCCTCCTCCTCCTCCTCCTCCTCCTCCTCCTCCTCTTCCTGCTCTCCTCCTCCTCCTCCTCCTCCTCCTCCTCCTCTCCTCCTCCTCCTCCTCCTCCTCCTCCTCCTCTCCTCCCTCCTCCTCCTCCTCCTCTCGCCCTCCTCCTCCTCCTCCTCCTCCTCCTCCTCCTCCTGCTCCTCCTCTTCCTCTTCCTCTCCCTCCATCCCCCGCGTTTCCTCTCCATCTCCGCCCTCTATTTCACTGGGCTCTCCCAGCCCTCTATTCCAATAGGCTGTGGTGCTCATCAGTGCAGCACTACCCCGGCAGCTGCTCGCATGAGGGGCACTTCCGAAGATGCAGCTGCTCGCATGAGGGGCACTTCCGAAGACGGCCGATCATATTCGATCCTCCTCCTCCTCCTCCTCCTCCTTCTCCTCCTCCTCCTCCTAACAAGCGAGAACGGGCCAGTCAGAGAACCAAGCTGTCGCTGTGGGGGCAGTGCTGCCCACCTTTCGGGGGAGGAGAAGGACTACAAAGGCAAGCGCTGGGTTGGGCCTGGTTCGTCCGTCAGCCACATATTGGAGGGAGATGGGCAGGAGGGAGGAGGAGGAGGAGGAAGAGGAGGAGGAGGAGGAGGAGGAGAAGACGGAGGACTAGACGTAGCCTGAAGCCTGAAGCGCGCCGATCCATCCGAAGAGAGGCCGGCGCACTGACTTTACAGGAGGTGGGCCTCGCCGCGATCGAGCAGTGGACCGCGGGGAAGGAAGCCCCACCTAATATGAATGAGCGTCGTGCCGGTTGCTCAACGGCCAGAGGCGGGAGCACGGATGTGCCTCGACAAGTTATGCCATGAACGCTCCGCCCAACCAATCTCCCCACCAACAAGAACCACCCCCGAGCCCTCCTCCACATCAACAGAAAAAAACGCAGAAACCATGGAACGATAAAGGTCACGGCCGCGCGGGCGGCGATCGGTTGAAACTAGCTCCAGCTGCTGGCTCCCTTAGACCAGGTCCCCAACCGCCGACCCATAAGTTCAACCCTCCCAACAACAGCCCGTCCGCATTTCATAGCTCGGCGCTCTGGCGTGCCGCCAACAGGCATCTGTGCACGAACGCGCAAGAGCAGCGGGTGCGGTCTCTGCGACGCTCTGGCAGAGAGTCCAGCTCGACCTTCACGGTGTGAAAGAGATAGAATGCGATGATCATCCTACGGATGACAGCCGGGCGAGCATCGTCCCGGGAGGCGTGGTCCTCTTCGGAGCCCAGCCCCCACATGGCAAGTGAGCGAGGGCACGGAAAGGCGATGGGGAGGGCGGTAAAATGCGCGAGATCTGAAAAAGGTGCTGCTCAGACTCTTGGGCGCCCCCAGACTCTGGGAGTTTGGGGTTGCTCCGACTTTGTCTCTCGCTGTCCGACTGTGTCTCCTCGCTCCTACCCCCTGCCTCCTTCTCCTGGTCCTCCTCCCTATTTCTCTTCCTACTCCCTCTTCGCCTGCTTTTCCAGGTCCTTTTCTTCCTCTTCCTCCTGTCCTCCTCCTCCTCCTCCTCCTCAACCTCCTCCTCCTCCTCCTCCTCCTCCTGCTCCTCCCCCTCCCCCTCCTCCCCCTCCTCCTCCTCCTCCTCCTCCTCCTCCTCCTCCTCCTCCTCCTCCTCCTCCTCCCCCTCCTCCTCCCCAAGAGGCCTCTAAGACGCCCAAGATGGCCTCCAAGACGGCCCTGAAGCGCCTCAAGAGGACCCCACATCGGTTCAAAGAGGCCCCCAAGATGGCTTCCGACGGCGTCAGACCCGTCAGACGGGCCAGGAACGCTTCAAGACGGCCAAGGAGAGGCCCCCAAGACGCCCCCACGGCCCCCAAGAGGCCTAAGGAGGCCCCCAAGAGGCTTCCAAGAGGCCCCCGGGAAGCCTCCAGGAGGCCCCACAAGAGTGCCCAAAGAGGCTCCCAAGAGGCCTCCTCCTCCTCCTCCTCCTCCTCCTCCTCTTCCTCCTCCCTCTCCTGATCCTCCCCCTCAGCCTCCCCCAAGTGTTCTCCGAAGAGTTTCCGGAGCGGCTGGGGGAATACATAATCAGATAGCTTGGCCAAGCTGGGGCCCAACGTTTGGCTACATAGGCGCTTCTCAAAAAGGCTGGGGGCGGCGGTGATTCGCCGTAGGCGTCTTGGATCCGCCGCCCCCTGTGCTTGCCACAGGGGTGGACGGCGTGCCAGACATTTTGCTGCTCTTCTTATTTTCAAACCCTGCCCAGTGGCCTTCGGCCCAGACCGCCTGCCCTCGGAAGGACCAGAAGGTGTGGCCACATCGCCACTAAGACGGCCCAAATGGCCCAAGATGGCCACCAAGATGCCTCCAAGGCGGCAAGGATCGCTCCAAGAAAGCCCAAGACGGCCCCAAGATGTTTCCAAGACGGCCCAAGATGCAACCGAGGCGTTCCAAGATGGCCCCAAGATGGCCCAGGACGGCCCCAAAGGCCCCCAAGAGGCTTTTAATGCAGTCCAAGAAGCCTCCAAGGGGACCTGCAGGAAGGCCCGAAGAGGCCAAGACAGCTGATTTCCCGTGGGCTCTTGATGGATTTTAACGTTTTCGGCCTGCCGACGGCCCAGTGCCGCCGAAGAGACCCCCAAGATGGCCCCAAGAGCGCCCAAGAGGCCTCCAAGACGGCCCCACGACGGCCTCCAGACGGTCCAAAAGGCCCCCAAGGCGCCTCCAAGACGGCCCACGAGAACTCCAAGGCGCCCACTCGTCATCGTGGTTGTCGCCGTCATCGTCGTCGTCGTCATCGTCGTCGTCGTCGTCGTCGTGGTCGTCAAACCTCTTCCAGTTTCCTAATCAAACCCCTCTCCCTCTCCCTCTCCCTTCCCCCTCCACCAACCCCCCCACCCCCCCTCCACCCCCCCCTCCACCACCCACCTCAGCCCCCCCTCCACCTCCCCCTCCACTCCCCGTCCAACTCCCCCTCCACCCCTTCGGATGTCCCTTGGAACCTTTTTGGGAGCACCCAGGGGGCTCCAGAGGGCCCCAAGAGGGCTCCAAGACGCGCCCCAGAGACCACTGAGAGGTCTCATCCAGACGCGCTGATCGATGACACCTACTAGCGGTTTCTGAGGCCTCTCGTGGGCCCCTCTTGGGCCCGTTTGGGGGCCCTCGTAGGGCCTTCTTGGAGCCATCATGTGGGCCAACAAGGGGCCCAAGAGGGCTCCAAGAGGGCCCCAAGAGGGCCCTCAGAGGGCCCCAAGAGTGATGTACCAGCGGCCGCTGGGTTGGTACATAATTCCTGGGGCCTTCTTGGGGCCCTCTTAGGGCCAACCAGGGGCCCAAGAGGGTTCCAAGAGGGCCCTCAGAGGGCCCCAAGAGGGCCCCAGGAATTATGTACCAGCGGCCGCTGGATTGGTACATAATTCCTGGGGCCTTCTTGGGGCCCTCCTAGGGCCAACCAGGGGCCCAAGAGGGCTCCAAGAGGGCACTCAGAGGGCCCCAACAGGGCCCTAGGAGTTATGTACCAGCCCAGTCTTAGGGACCCCTTGGAGCCATCTTATGGGCCGATGTCCCACGGGGACCACCGGGTAACTCCGATGTCCCACGGGGGATACCGGGTAACTCCGATGTCCCACGGGCCGATGTCCCACGGGGACCACCGGGTAATTCCGACGTCCCACGGGGGACACCGGGTAACTCCGATGTCCCACGGGCCGATGTCCCACGGGGACCACCGGGTAACTCCGATGTCCCACGGGGACACCGGGTAACTCCGATGTCCCACGGGGGGGCACCAGGTAAATCGTGCCCAGACCCCCCCTTGCAAGGTCGAGTTACCCGATGTCCCCCGGGGGACACCGGGTAACTCCGATGTCCCACGGGCCGATGTCCCACGGGGACCACCGGGTAACTCCGATGTCCCACGGGGGACACCGGGTAACTCCGATGTCCCACGGGCCGATGTCCCACGGGGACCACCGGGTAACTCCGATGTCCCACGGGGGACACCGGGTAACTCCGATGTCCCACGGGCCGATGTCCCACGGGGACCACCGGGTAACTCCGATGTCCCACGGGGGACACCGGGTAACTCCGATGTCCCACACCGGGACGGGCCGATGTCTCCGGGGGGCCGGGTAACTCCGATGTGTAACTCCGATGTCCCACGGGCCGATGTCCCCACGGGGACGGGGGACACCGGGTAACTCCGATGTCCCACGGGGGACACCGGGTAACTCCGATGTCCCACGGGAGGCCACCGGGTAACCATGCCCAGACCCCCCTTGCAATGTCGAGTTACCCGATGTCCCCCGGGGGACACCGGGTAACTCCGATGTCCCACGGGCCGATGTCCCACGGGGACCACCGGGTAACTCCGATGTCCCATGGGGGTCCACCGGTTTACTGAATAATGCCGAATGCGCCCCTTGCAAGGTCGACTTACTCGACGCCCCTCGGGGGACACCGGGTAAGTGGGGGGTGTGGAGCGCACCCCCCGCTTACCCGATGTCCCCCAGGGGACACCGGGTAACTCATGCCCGACTCCCCCCCGTGCAAAGTCGAGTTACCCGATGCCCCCCCCTCGCCACCGGGTAACCCATGCCTAACCCCCCCCCTCTGCAAGGTCGAGTTACCCGATGTCCCCTGGGGGACACCGGGTAAGTGGGGTGTGTGGAGCGCACCCCCCAGTTACCCGATGCTCCCAAGGGGGGGCGCCAATAACTTATGCCCGTCGTCGTCGTCGTCGTCGTCGTTGTCGCCGGTCGTCGGTCGCGGGCCGGAAAAATTTGAGGCTTCGGATCCGTTTCGGGGCCCCCCTGGGCCCCGAGGGCTCCAAACCCCTGGGGAAAAGCAGCAGCAAAACTTACCACTCCAGGTCGAGGCGTCGTCGTCGTCGTCGCCGTCGTCTGCGGGTCGGGAGCTCCAGGATGTGGCCGAAAGCTCCGGGTTGGGGTCGGGAGCTCCTGGACGGGGTCGAGAGCTCTGGGGTCGAAACAGG